GACGGCACGCTCTTCACCTTCGCTCACTCTTCGGCGGCGCATGCTCGTGCGGTCGAGTGTCGGGCTGCCCTGTCGCTCGTTGCTCGTGGCCAGACGCACGACACTCCTCCCCTGACAACCCAGTCGAGCGCAACTCCAGTCCCAAGGTTGAGAAGGCCAACAGGGTTCTCCTCCTCGCTCTCGCTCTTCCCTCGCATCTCTCGTCCACAAAGCTCGTTTCTCCTGGTTCGCAGCACGCTTCCTTTCGCCATACTCGCATCGACGACCGCCTCCTCTACGCAGCTGACTAATCTCCGCTCGACTCTGCTCCGTCCTCCTCTTCGCCGTTCGCTGGCATCCCGCTTCGAAGGGCGAACGACGACACAGCCTCACTGTAATGACTTCTCTGTCGTACGAGTCCCTCCTGAGCGTGACAACCCTTGATCCATGACGTAGCGAAGTCGGCTCGCTGCGGGGTGCGTCGAAGTGGAATGGTCCAAAGTTCCCAACGCTTGCCTCGTTGGCTTTCTCTCCCTCCGACCGCTCACTAGCACTTGCTGTGACAACTCTTGCACGAGCTACTCGCACACACGCACACAGCACACACTCAACATGGTCTCTGGTGAGCTGCTCACCCTTGCCGCCGCCTCCTCCGGCTAGCCACTTGGAGTCGATCCACTTCGACCCAAGGCTCAGCGTCGCAAACTCGGGCCAGCAGGACTGACGGAGAGATGAACGCCCACAGAACGCACTGTCCGCCTCGTCATGGGCCCCTTTGCGGGATTCGCCCTCCTCGCGAGCATCGTCACCATGTCAATCGCCGCGTCGCTCGAGGCGCACTGGAACAACGTCGGGTTCCCCAACAAGAGCTACCGTGACCGCGAGCGCATCCTCCTCGCAGCAGGAATTTGGGGCATCCTCATCTCAGGTGCGCACACCGTTTCCTCCGCTCCTCGAGCCGTTTCCGACTTCTCACATCCGTTTCCACGCGCAGCCTACTCCCTCTTCGGCACTATCTTTGCGCCCGGATCCACTGCTTTCGGCATCTTCCCTCACCTGATTGCGTTCACCATCGCCTTCATCCTCTACCTCGTCGGCGCATCCTCCCTCACTGCCTTGACCGACAAGGTCACTTGCTCGAACGCCGCCGAGACGTTCAGTCGCTGCAATACGACCAAGGCGCTCGTAGGTGCGTACTCGAGCTCTGCCAGTCCATGCGCATCGAAACTGACGCAGCTTCCCGTCTGCAGCCTTTGGGTGCGCTTCCTTTCCTTGCTCGCTCGTCCCTCTCACGACACTAGCTGACTCTCCTGCCGCGCAGATGGATCGGAACCATCTACGTTTTCCTCATCCTGGTCTTTGTCTCGATCCTCGGCATCAAGGCCCGCAGCGGCGTCGGCGCTCGCAAGGGCGCTCTCACCGACGCCTAAACCCCGTCCCTCCCTATCAAAGCAGTCGGAACCCTCTTCGTTACTTCATCCGCCGTACATACCCTTTCTACCTCCCGAGCTCTTAGCACAAGTCGCAGCACTGGCCTAATTCGTCTTCTTGCCGGTGAAATCGTAATACTGCACGCAACAACCTGGCTTTGAGAGGTACAGATGGGGTTGAGACTTTGAAGGAGATTCTGAAGGGAGAGAAGCTGACAAACGAGGGGAGAACGAGAGGGAATGAGCGACCACTACCTCCGCTTCCTGCCCACCTTGTCCGTCCCCAAGATCCTCCCCAACAGCGTCCATACCACGATCCTCGGGATGCGCTCAAACACCCAGAAGAGCCACGACTTGCCGCCTGCGGTGTAGTAGCGCGCTGGACGTTTGCGAAGGGCCCGCGAGACGATTCCTTGTGCGAGGACGGAGGCGGGCATGGTGTGGTCTGAGAGAGCGAACGAGCGATCAGCAGGAGAGAAAGGCTGGACAGGAGCGCGCACGAACCCGCTCGCTGCGACATCTCTGCTCGCTCGGCAATCTTGTCCGCGACGTCCTTGAAGAGCGAGTCTGCGCCCCGAATCTCGCACTCAGTACCTCCTAACCATTCAACTTGTCATTGAGAAAGACGCGAACGCACCTTCAGGCATCTGGAAAGAGTTGAGTTGCTTCTTCCCGAACTGACTCGTAATCGCTCCAGGCGCGACGAGCATTACATCGATCCCGAGTCCTTTGACTTCCATCCTCAGTGTCTCGGTGATTGAGTGTAGAGCTGCCTTGCTGGCGGAGTAGATGCCGGACCAGGGAGTGGGAATGTTTCCTGTACGAACGAGGGAAGGGTGAGGAGATTGGCCGACGAGGAGGGAGAGCGCGACTCACCGACAATGCTGCCGATGTTGACGATCAGACCTGAACGTCGCTCGGCCATTGGAACGGCGACGAGTTTGCTGAGCCGCAAGGGAGCGAAAAAATTGGTCTCAAACTGCGGAAAGAGGAGAAGGTCAGCTTCGACGGCATCAACGGTCTTGACGGCGGGTCCGCGGCGGCAGATGCCACAGAATCCGAGCTGTTGAAGAAACGCACCGTAGCCCTTGCACCCTCTTCGCTCTCAACATCCGCATCGAGGACAGCTCCCGTTCCGGCCGCGCCCGCGTTGTTGACCAGCACATCAATCCTTCCCTGCTCCTTGATGATCTTGTCGACGACAATGCGGCAAGACTCGAGCGACGTGACGTCCAGAGCGACCTTGCGCACCTCGTCCGGGAGGGTCTGGAGGGACTCGAGGCGGCGTGCTGAGGCGTAGACGACGCAGCCGCGCTTGTGGAACTCTTGGCAGAGGGCGTTGCTGGTGGGTACGACTGTCCGTCAGCCTCGCGAGACTTTGGCACGACAGCGACGTCTTGCAGAAGTCGAGGTGGGGCAGGAGGAGAGAACGGGGAGAAGCAGACGCACCCGATGCCGCCCGCCGAGCTGCCCGTGACGAGAACAACCTTGCGACCGGTAGCCATCCTTCGCAAGCCTAGCAGAGTGTGAAGTCGAGAGGGAGAGAGCGAAGTGGAGGAGGGGAGAGGTTCGGGTACTTCGCGCTCGCCAGTCCCTGCTTCCTTGGCCAGAAGCAAGCAAGGAAGAGACTCTCGATGAACGTAGCGAACTACCTTGTGCGAGCCGAGACGGGCTTTGCGAGAGGAAGGCCAAGTTGAGCGCTACAAACGACAAAAGGATGTTGATACAGGCTGCTCGAACGAGAGGCAGAAAGGGTCCATCGACTTATAACAAAGAGAGCAGAGAGCTAGGCGGGCGCACTCTTCACCGGGAAGCGTCCAGCAGATCGTCGTCGTCCTCCTCGCTCTTGACGAGGGCCGACATGACCTCGTCGTCCGAGTTGGCGTCCTCGTCGTCGCTGCCGTCGCGCTCGACGTCCATGGCCTGCGTCGACGTCGATGCCTGCGCCTGCAGGTCGCGCGAGCCGTGCAGGCGACGGACAGTCCGCCTCGACGAGCCGTCCGAGCCAGCTTGGCGCGAAGGCGTGCTGTCCTGGGCGAGCAGGGACGACGCGGCAGACGACGATCCCGATGGAAGGCGCGAGAAGTCGCCTGCGCGGAGACGCGGGGCAGGTGGTGCAGCGTTCGAGGTACCGGCGCCGGGAGTGACGGGATCCTCACCGCCGGCCGCATCGCTCATGGCGACATCTCGACCGGTATCGGTGAAGGCGCCCGGGAGCTCTGCGTCCGAGTCTTCGGTCTTGATGCGCGGCGTGCGAGAGGGCCGCTTCGCTCGAGAAGGGCGTTCGGGCTCGACGGAGCCAAAGTCGAGCACCTCAAACTCGCTCCGGCCGTTACGAGAGATCGCCGCAACGCAGAAGCGCTGGTCGAACGAGACCTGCCAGACGCCTGTGAGGTTCGTCAAGAGGTCGCGAACAAAAGCGCCGGTGCGGACGTCCCACATCTTGAGGGTACCGTCCGAGCCGCTGATGACCTTGTCCTCGTCGTGCTGGAAGCAGGTGATCGCGCCCTGGTGGGCCGCGAGCGAGTGGCGGCAGGCGCCTGTGTCGGGATCCCAGATGCGCAGGGTCCAGTCGGCAGCCGCCGAGACGAGGTTGCGGTGCGTCAAGCCGAGCAGGCCGACAAGCGAGGCATGGCCCTCGAGGACGCCGCGGAGCTCGCCGGTCTCGGTCGACCAGAGACGGACAGTGCCGTCCATCGAGCCGGACGCGACCTGCTTGCGGGTCGGGTCGTACACGACGGAGTAGACCTTCTGCGTATGGCCCTGCAGGACGTGCCGGCACTCGCCCGTCATCGTGTCCCACACGCGAACGTCCATGTCGTACGAACCCGAGACGAGCGTCCTGCCGTGAGCGGCGAGAGCGCGAACGGCCTGCGTGTGTCCTCGCAAGTGGCGGGGGGGGAAGGGGTTTTCGGCGGGCTGGGCGGCTTCCTCAGACGGACTCTCGGGGTAGGGCGGCTCGTAGTCGGCGTCCTTGCCCGGCATCGGAAGCTTCCAGACTCGCAAAGTGTGGTCGCGCGAGCCGGTAACGATGATCGGGTAGGGCGGTTCCCAGACTGGCGGGCCGGACGGGTCGGGGTTGACGTTCTGCGGCTCGACGATCTGGAGGCAGCGGACTGTCGAGGTGTGGCCGATAAAGACGTGCGTGCAGCGGTAGGTGTCGAGGTCCCAGACGCGGACGGTGCGGTCCGTCGATCCGGAGACGAGCACATTCCCGACATACTGCAGGGCCCAAACGCCGCCTTCGTGGCCGCTCAGGACGGCCTTGAGCGCGCCGGTCTGGGTCTCGAAGACGCTGATCGAGTGATCGTCCGACGAGGAGACGATCTTGTCCTTGTCAAACTGCAGGCACGTCACGACGTGGTTGTTGGTGTTCGCGGCGGCGTTGCCGGCGTTGCCAGCTTGCGGCGAGCTCGAGTACGGGAAGTTGAGGCGCTTCGGCATGTTCTGCTGCCAGTTGCGGCGGATGAGGACGCGGTGACGGTAGAGAAGCTTGAAGGGGTGGACGAAGTGGGACGGCGGGATGGGCGATGCTTCGCGCGAGGACGAAGGCGAGGCGAGGCGATGGTTGACAGCCGAAGATCCCTGCGGTGTCGGTCCTCCGCCGTACAAGTCATCGACGTGGACCCGACCGGACCACTTTGAGCGTTTCTGCAGCGCAACCGAGCGGTCAGTCTCGGCCTGAAAGAGTTTGTTGTGGGTGCTCACCTTCTTGTCCCAGACGCCCGCCTTCCACCGCTTCAGGAAGAGATCCTCCTTGCCGCCCCGGGTGATGTCCCTCGCCTCTCGCTCGTCGCTGCCATCGCCAATCCAGAAACCCTCCGCTACCAACTTGTCCTTCCAGACTCGCCATTCGCCATCGATGAGCCGCCGCCACGTCTTGCTGACGAGGGAGGCTCGGCACAGGTCGCGAACGTCGAAGTAGCTGAGGATCGACGTGCCGAGCTCGGGTGGGAGGTCGGAGAGGAAGTCGCGGCGGAGAGCGTGCTCGACGACTTGATTGACGGACTGAAGGACGGGGATGGACGACCGGCGGAGAAGCTGGAAGAGGAGGTACGACTGGAGGGTAGGCTGAAGCTGGTCGAAGGACTTGACCAGGTCGGGTAACGAGAGCAAGCCGCTCAGGCCGATGCCGTAGCCGAAGTCGAAACTTTGGCGAAGTGCAACGGCACCTGCTTGCGCAGCAGCGTCGACGTCGTCGTCTCGCAGCTCTTGGCTGTCCTCGCCGCCGAAAGTCGGGACAGGACTTGGCGGACTCTGGTTCGGACTAGGGAGAGCAGCCGCGCTCACGACTGTCGCCGGCGGTCCCATGCTTGTCGTATGCGCTTGCAGGTGAGCTTGACTTAGGCGTCGACCGGTAGCTGCGACAGACGCATCACCGTCGACGGAAGCCTGAGAGGTCGAGTCGGCTCGAGCGCGTTTTCGAGGCGGACCTGGCGAGGGGTGCCGTAACGGAAGTGCAACGTCGTCGACACGATCCGCCTCCTCGTCAAGAGCGTCCTGACCGTGCCCAGCTCCTCGAGGCCGCCGCGACAATCGTCGCTGGTGAAGAGCGCCTCGCTCGTTCCGCGACAACCCCTCGGCACCGCCTGTCAGCGGCGAGATATCCGACTCGTCCTCGATGCGAGCCTTCCCCTTCCCCTTCGCACTGCGCGGCGGTCCTCCGCTCGACTGCCAGCCTACTCCTGCGCCTGCGAGCGTCAGAGCTTCCGCGGGATTCTCTACGTAGGTCGCCGACATGTCGCCCAGCGCGAGCTGAAATTGTCGCATGCTGCCTGGCCATGGCTCGGAGCTCAGCGGGTACATCTTGGGGTCGAGCGGCAGAGCAGACGAGGACGGGCCTGCCTCGCTCGACTCGTCGAGAAGCTGACGGAGGGATGTCCGCGGCGTGACGGGGCTGCCGTATCGCATCGCTGCGTCCCCTGACGGGCCGGAGAAGGACGAGTGAACGGCGCGAATTGGGCGAGATTTGGGTATGCGGATCGGGGCGAAGTTGGTGGTCGTCTGCGTCGTCGTAGTCACGACAGTCGTCGTCGTCGCGGGCGCAAAGTGCAAGAGCGCATAGTCTCCAGGTGCACCCGGACTGGCAGCATCGTCCAGCGCAGCTTCCCGTTCGTGTCCAGCTGGTCGAGGCTGACCGGGTCGAGCATGTGCCGTCGTAGTCGTTACGCGCGTCACAACGCTCTCGACGTGTTTACCGAGTGGTTCCGTCGCGCCCGCACTCGTACGGTCGACGTCCATCGCGAGAAGTAGGGAGGGGTGCGGGAGCGAGAGATGAGGCGGGGAAGGGACGGGGGCGAGGAAGTGAACGCGGTTTATAGGCGGGTGTGAGCGTGCACTGCTAGCTGCAGATCGCAAACGCCTTGTCAGCCTGGTCCACACCCTCGCGAGCCTCGAGTACGCACATCGTCTGCGAGGAGGCGAGCGCGTTCCTTTGCGCAATGGTCCCACGGCGCGAGACGGTGCAGATAGAGCAGCAGCCGTGTGAGCCGTTGAAGGGCTTGTCCGCAATTTAGCAAAGACGCAAAGCGAGGTGAACAGCGGGAAGCGAAGGTGTTCCCGCACAAAGGGTGTCCGAAGAGAAGTGCAAGAAGGAGTTTGGTCAAAACAGGGAAGAAGCGTGCAGCCCGAGTGCAATTGTCGTAGCCGTAAGCTTCGGTGAAGCTACACCGAGCGAAGCGATTGAGCGAGTTCAGGGGTGGAAGCGGCACTTTCGCACGAATCGTCGTCTACACGTCCAGTTGTGCAAGCGGAGTCTACAGATGCGCCGCTGCCTGCAACTCCTCGTCGTTCGACACCGGCCGATAACCCTCTGCGCGCTCGAGACCTCGGCGGAACGGCTCGATGTCCTCTTCACGCAACTCCTTCGTCCCCTCCGGCAATGGCCGCGGCTCCTTGATGCGCTCGAGGGCAGCAAGTACCGCCGAGTCGTTCGAACATCCCTCCTTGACGAACGCCTCGAGTTGTGCAAGTGTGGGCTTCGTTTGCGCGAATGTCAAGACCTCGTCCGCCTTGTCCGGCGCCGCAGCTTTGACGGCTTTGAGAAGTGGCGACAAGTCCGCAGGCTGGAGTCGCTGAGAGCGATACAGGATGGCAAGTTTAGTCCGTGATGTTGACGAAGGCGAGATGAAGCGGTCGAAGAAGGCGAGGATGTCGGTCTGCGAGAGCTGTCGAACGAGCTTGGCCTGGCGTTGACGGTAGCCGAAGTCGAGCTCGCCCGTGGATACCTCGGCCCAGTACCGGTTTGACCTGGTGAGATGCCGAGTGAGCGGAGGAAAAGCGAGAACGGCTTGAAAGTAACGCACTCCTGGCCGAGCGTTTTCGGTTTCTCGAACAGCTTGTGCACCAAGCTCTCGCGCTCCTTCTCGAACTCTTCGTCGCTCATGCCCTGCACACGCTCGGCGAAAGTCGACCACAACGCGTCGATCCGCTCGTCGACGTATTCCGGCGACCGCTCCGACTGGACAACCACGCGGAAGCCGGCGTAGGCGTTCGTGACCCACGAGCCGGAGGAGACAATGTAGCCGAGCTGCTCCTTTGTGCGGAGTGTCGAGAAGACGGGAACTTTGGCGAGTTGGGCGAAAAGCGAGAGCTTGGCGAGCAGCTCATGGTCGCTGGCCGGCCCTACGTCGTAGTATGCCGAGACTGCCGAGTTAACATTCTCCGGCGACGGTACGAGAGGTCGGTAGACGGTCGACGATCCGGGCGGAAGCTTGAGGGCGCGATGGTAGTCGGTCTCGGAAGAGTCGGCCGGCTGAGCGTCCAGCTTGCCCTCGAGGGTTTCAACCATCTTGACGGCATCCTGCAAAGTAGATGCTCAGCCTTTGCCCCCTGTCTCGAGCAGAGGAGCGTACAGTAGCGGCGAAGTTGCCCGTAATCAAGGCGTCGAGCGAGTACTTCGCAAGAAGTTGCTGAGCATGCTGACGAACGTCGGCAAGCGTGACACCTGCGAGAAATAGTATCAGAAGAGAGCAGGCAGGAGTGAGTCCGGAGCGGGACGGACCTTGAAGGGCTTCGAGGCGTTCGTCCCAGGTCCAGTACGTCTGCCTCGTCAGCCGGCGGACCTCGGCATCGGCGAGTCCAGACGGGTTTGACAACTTTGCGTTGGCGTAAGCGCGCGTCAAACGGTCATGCACAATCTCGAAATCCTTGTCGGCGATCTGGAAGTCCTTGGCCGTGTCGAGGACAACGGAGGCGAGTAAGGGCAGCTTCTCGGTATAGCCGGAGACAATGAGGGAGAATCCGCCGGATTCTGTACCGAAGGCGTAGTGCAGGCCGGCGAGAGTTGCGTCGTACGAAAACTTGGTAAGGCTTTCTTCGATGAGGGAGGTGAAGAGCTGGGTGAGAATGGCGTTGCGTGGCGAAGTGTCGGCGATCGCCCTGCGCAGCGTAATCTCGTGAGCTGCAGATGCTGAGCTGCAGAAGGGCAGACGTACGAGCGGAAGATGAAAAAGGTGCTGCCCTTGGGGATACACCATCGGTCGTCTGCCTTGAAGAACAGCCGGGAGCGGGGAGTCTTGCGGATCAGGCTTGGTCGCAGTGCCGGCTGTCGGTGGAGAATGTTTCAGGGTAGGCTCTGCGGACAAGGCTAGGAAAAACTCACCTCGGGCGACGGCTTGTCTCGCAGGAGGTCGAGTTTCTCCGGCACGAAGATGTTGCGGCCGGGAAGAGCTAGACTTGAAGCTTCGGACGAAGCGAGTGAGTCGATGTCGAGGGGGGAGACGTCGTATTCGGTCCCGTAGTACTGCACACGCGACCGGGATCAGCCATTTGCACGAGCGAACACTTCAGGGTTGCATGCACCTTCTCCCGCTCCGTCCAGAACTCGCGACCCGGGAGCGGGTCCTTCGAGCCGACAAGCACGCGACAGTTGTCCGCCCGCAGGTGTCCCAACGTCTCCTTGATGAGCGACTCGTCCCACTCGGTCGAGAACCAAGGACCGACGAGCAGCCTGTCGGGGTCGTACAGCGTCTCGCCCATCTGGCTCGCAAGGTTGCGGGTGGTGGATTGCGGCTGACCCTTCTCCTTCCACCGCCAGTCGATCTTGCCGAGCTGCTGCATCTCGTCGAATGCCCAGCGCTGCGGCGGCGTCAACTTGAGCAGCTCGACGTAGCGGAAGACGAGTGCGATCGCCTCCTTGTGGTGCTGAAGACCCGTGGCGGTCAGGCTGATCTCGACTCGGAAGAAATCAAAGCCGCGGGCACCGCCGCCCGACGACGCTGAGAGCGAGGTTGCCCAGCCGAGCGACTTCAGTACGGCGAGAACTGAGCCTTCGCCTTCGTGACCGAGATAGTGCGACAAGAAGCGCCCAGGCTGCGAGGGGAAACTGGTAAGTTAAGTCGGTGCGGGACCAGACTGGACGGGTCCTTGCTCACTTTGGTCCGCCAGTGCCGTCGCAGGTCGGGCATGCCAAACTCGATACGGAGCTTGGGAGTGTCCTTGACCGTGCGGTACGAGATCTGCTGGCCAGCGATTGCCGGCGAGATGGGCGGGACGGTGAACCGAGTTGCTTCGAGGTTCGAGTTCGGGATGTCGGAGTACTCTTGCAGGACGAGTTGGGTGAGCTCGTCAAGCGACTCTGTGCGGCAAGTGGATTAGCATCGAGCTTGAAGAAGCGGGAAGATGTAGCGCACGATTCCCCAGCACGACAAGGCTCATCAGGTTGGCGGAGTAGTGCTTCGAGTACCACTCGAGCAGTCGATCCCGCACGTCAACACCTCGCGCTCTTGGCTCCTCCCAAAGCGACTCTTTACTCCCCGTCCCGAATTTCCAGTAAACCGAACCTTCCTCGCGCGAGCTCGTCGCCTTGCCCAGCTGGAACAGTCGTCGAGTGTCAAGCTGCAAGTTTCTTCGAAACTCGGAGTCGACGGCATTGAGCTCCCGTTCTGTGCAGGAGGCGTCGAAAAGAGGCGAGGTGAAGAACTGTGCGTGACGGGAGAGGGCGCCAGGCAGGCTAGCGGGCGAGCAGTCGAAATGGTAGACCGTCTCAGCGACTACGAAGGGAGACGTCAGCCCAGGGAAAGGCGGAGAAGAGGTGGAGACTGACTTGCGCGAGGTGTACGCGTTGCTCGAGCCGGCGTTTCGCGAGAGGTAGGTCTTGTACTCGGCCTCCTCGGGGTACTTCTCCGTGCCGAGGAAGAGCACTGAGTATTCAATAGTCAGTGATTACGCTTGCAGGGCAGCGAAGAGCGAGCCTCACTGTGCTCGCAGAAGTGCGCAAGGCCTGGCAGGTCGTCTGGGTCGTTCAGGTGGCCGACTTGGACGCCGAGTGCGGCCGCGGCTGCACGAGGGGATCACTCTCAGGTGGATGCGAGTCGGGTAAATTCGCCAGAACGCACCTTTGTCCGTCTGCGCGTCGGAGATGAGGAGTGCCTTAAGGCCGTTCCGCAAGACGATGAGCCTGCAGGTGCAAAAGTGAGTCGGCTGAGCAGAGAGGAGGAAGACAGCACGCTCTCACCGATACTTGCGGTCATCGTTCGGCGACACCTCAATCTCCTTCTCCAGGACCGCGAAACCTCCCTGCCCCCCCGTTCGCCAGCCGCTACCCAGACGGCCGAGGTCGAACGGCTCCGTAACCCGCTGCATGCTCCTGTTAGACAATGCAGGCGCTTGAGAGGCGTGCGAGGCCGAGTACGAGCGAAGTGGGGCGTTCGTCGAAGCGAGCCGATGAGGAGGCAGAGGGAGTCGGGCAAGCAGTGTCGAGCGTCTGGCCACAAGCAATGAGCGACAGAGCAGCCTGACACTCGACCGCACGAGCATGCGTGCCGAAGAGTGAGCGAAGTGGAGAGAGCGCCGCTTCGAAGGAGCAGCGAGGACCAGGAGGA